GGGAAGTCGTCAAAAGCGGATGGATAATGCTAGCGGCTTTGTTTCCTCGGCAGGAGCAGGTGGAAAGGGGAAGGGGGGGGGTGATGTTGTGGCAGAGAGTGAGATAGAGATAAGGATTGACGAGCGTTTTCACTCTGGTGGAGGAATAGTCCAAGAAGAAGAATCCGCGGCGCGCTGCTCGCGAAGCTCTGCAGTGCTGCATAATAATGGCTTTGGGGGCAAAAGAGCGAAAGGGTCCTTCTCTGGGATGGGAAAAAAAAGAAGAGAGCAGAGGCGATTCATGCTTGTGCGGCTTGTGCGCGCGCTGCGCTGTGCGCTAGCGAGACTGTAGAGGTACTACAGTGTGCGTTTAGAAGGAGGGACACAAGAGGCAGAGGGTGGACAGCAGCATGCGCTCTCCGCCCCGTGTGGCATTGCAGAGCGTGTAGCGGTCGGCCATGCCAAAAATAATATCCGCGGGGCTGCAGTATGTCCGGACGGCGGCGGTCCAGCCAGACTCCTCTCCTTGCTTGACCTAGAGAGACTCCTGGCGCGTGGCGGCGCGTGGCGTGAGCTGTCCAGTCGTCGTCAATTACTCGCAGGACTTTCTCGATGAGTTCCTTTGTGGCGGCGTCGTCGTTGTCGGCGTCGGCGTCTCGATGTCGGACAACAACAACGCAGCAGCAGCAGCGGGACAGCACGGACAGCGCGTGCGAGCGGAGCAGGCGGCGGCAGGGGAGGACATGGGCAGCAGCGACGGACAGAACCACCACCAAGAGCAGTGTATAAAGGGTATCGGGCATGCATATGCGGCTGGGGTGCAGTTAGTCATGCAGGGGGCGGCAAACTACACACCACACACACGAGTAGAGTAGTATACAACACACAGGACAGAGCACACAAGGAAGTATTAACCACAAATGAGTGCACCCCGGTATAGGCTCATGACGGACGGACGGACTGACGGGACGGACGGACTGACGGGACGGACGGACGGACGGACGGACGGACGGGTGGCGTGACGTATGACGTGTCGGTCGTGCTAATGGCTTCCTCGGCAGCAAATCATCGGGCTTAGTGACGCGACTCCTCATCGAGTGGCATCGCCATCACCGTAACGCCGCGCCGCGCCACGCCCCGCGCAACGCAATGCTTTCGGGAAGTGATTTAGAACTTTCTCTATTGTCGACGGCCGGCCTGTTCGCGCGCGCTCGCGGCAGGGCCGGCAGGGCCCCGTGGCCATGCCCCGGCCCAGCTCAGCCCCGCGGGGCTGCCCCCCCGTCGCGCCCGTCCTAACGCTCCAAAGGGCTGGGCCGGGCCGGGTCCGCGGGCCCCGCGCACCTCAGTCAGCGCCACCTGCTGCCGATACACAGTCGGGAAAAAGAAAAGCTCGGCGATGAAGGACGGAAACTTTCGGTGACTACAACTATAGGCGGCGCATTCGGGATTTTGAAACCGAAAAGAAATAATTTTCGAGAAGGTCGTGGTGCCCCCAAATATCTAAAAAAAAAAAAAAAAAAAATCAAACTAAGGTGTCCTTTAGAGAACTACTGCTTTATATTTTTATATTTTCAAGTAAGTGTCTCTGTTGGCCGGGGACAGAAAGTCACGCATGAAATGATGGTGCCTCACTTCTGCGCGGCGCGGCATAGGTGACAACACCCTTACACTACTTGTCGCTCCCGGCTCGCGGTCGCCACCCGGTCGTCACCCGGTCGTCACACGGACACGGGTCGCGCCCGCGGGGCTTTCTCTGCGCGAGTATAAAACCCTCTTCTGACACCTGTAATGCAAATGCACCTCATCCCCGTCGCGCTGACGCAAGACGGCGGCCCGGCCCGGCCGGCCTGCACTTTGGAGATGGAAAGCCCTTCTCTCTCCCCTCTGCTCCTGCCCGTATCACACGACTGCGCCTCTCTTATACTGCTTCCGGAAACCGAACGCGAAGTGTATAATGACTGAATGACGGCATTGTGTGCTGTTCCGCTTGGGGCTTTGGTCTATGAGAAGTTCGTGACATTCCAAAACCCATAGGTCGGGCACGAATCCCAACAGAATACATCAAGGAAAAATGCACACACCGCTAAAATCACTTTGGGAGCGTAAACCCTGCCGGAAGACGACACATGATGTGATGATAAGCTATACGACACGACATTCGGCACCGAACTTTCTTTCCGACGTCCTCTCTCTCTCTCTCTGCCACTCGCTCCTGGCGGCATCATCGTCGCCGTCACGACTCACTCGCTCGCACACACGTGTGCACCTGTATGCACACACGTGCGACACTTTGATGTGATTTCTCCTCTGGCCCTGGCCGTGCACGTGCACCAGGGCGCCGCCCACCGTCCGTCCTCCCGTCATGAGCATCGTTTTTTAACGTTTTGCCGTTTAAAACGTTTATGCCGTTATAAAGTTTATAACGGTTGAACGGTAAAACGTATTCCCACGTTTTAATCGTTTATGACGTTATAAAGTTTGTAACGTCTGAACGTTATGATGTTTTAACGTTTATAACGTTTTGACGATTTTAACGTTTTGACGATTTTAACGTTTTGACGATTTTAACGTTTTGACGATTTTAACGCTTCAACGTTTTTAACGGCGTGCACTCAGTCCCAAAAAAAGTAACACACAAAAAAGTATCGGCTGTATAGGCGCCAATGCGACGCCGCGCCGGGGGTCGCGGGCTCACCTGGGGCGCCTCCCGGTTGTCGGGCTGGGCCTGGCCGAAGCCGCCGGTCTGCGACCAGTCGCCGGTGTTCCTCTGGGTGGTGGGGCCGATCTTGGCGCCGGAGCCGGACCAGAACCAGCCGTTGACGTTGGCGGGCTGCAGGTCGGGCCGGTCGCAGCCGTTGAAGTTGCACTTGCGGCCCGACGTCCAGATGTACCGGACGTTACCTGTGTGTCGGCAAAAAAAATAAAATAAAAAAATAATAAGTACCACTCCAGAGACGGCTGCTGTGTAATGAAAAGAAGGTGTGGGGCGTAACGGGTGGCATGTGTAAACATAATGTGCGGCGTAAATCCTCAGTCACTCTCCGGCGCTTTTGCTAACACGTCTCGTAAAAACTTCGGTGCGAGCTTCAGCGATCCTTGTTCCAACAAGCCACAACCCTTCCTTTCACCACTACCCCCCCCTCTCTTTCTCTCTTTCTCTAACACACACGCACACATTGGTGGGCGTGGCGTAGCGGGCCATCGCGGTGAAAAGCCGCGGCCGGCAGCGGACCCCTTTGTTTGCAAACTAAAAGGCTTCGCTAGCTTGTTTGCATCTCGCAAATCGGGCCATAGACCGCCATAGGCGGCCGTGCGCACGCCGTGGGCCACACACAATACGCTCTCCCTGACACACACACTCAGACACACCCGGCGCCTTCTCACGATGTTGTCCCAAAGCTACCTGACCTGGCCGGGAGCCTCCGGCGGGCCGGGTCGGCCAAGCCCAGGTGAGAGCGCCGGCGAGGACTATGGGCCGGGCAAGCGGGCCGCCAGGCAGGCCGTCAGCCCAGCAGGGCCGGGAGAAACTCCGGTCGGCCTGCCAACTAGTGTGTCTCGTCTCCTCACTGACGCATTACTCTGCCCCGACACCGGACAGGCAGGGTTAGCTGGGGCCCCTGCGGCGTAGGCCGTCCCGTTACACGCGCACGCACCGCGGGTCTGCCTACACACTGGCCACACGGCGGGCCCCCAGAGCCTAGGCCGTCCTGTTACACGCGCACGCACCGCGGGACTGCCTTCCCCCTCGGGCACACGGCGGGCCCCTGCGGTGTAGGCCGTCCCGTTACACGCGCACGCACCGCGGAACTGCCTACCCACCGGCCACACGGCGGGCCCCTGCGGCGTAGGCCGTCCCGTTACACGCGCACGCACCGCGGGACTGCCTACCCACCGGCCACACGGCGGACCCCCGGAGCGTAGGCCGTCCCGTAACACGCGCACGCACCGCGGGTCTGCCTACCCACCGGCGACACGGTGCCCGTGCCACCCAAACAGTGTGCACTCCCCCAAAAAATCAGAAAAAAATCAGAAAAATATCAAAAATAAAATTAGAAAAACAGATCCAGGATTTTTTCTGTAGGATAATCAAGGACGATTCTATCTAAAATTAAAAGCCGTGTGCACTACTCTTCGGGAGGCCCCGTCTGTAGGTGAGCGCTGCTGGAGGCCTGCGCCCCTCCCCGCCGGAGGGTGTGACGGTCGCGGCGGCCCCTCCGCTGACCGGGTCCAATGTCAATAGTCGTCCCGCCCGACGATTAACCTTGCGTCGCCTCACTGTCTAGGTCCCCGCCGGTCTCCACCAGGTCCACACGGCGGGGCGGCTCTTCCCTCTTCCTGCCGGGGCAGGCGGGGCGGTGCGGGGACCATGTCCCAGGATATGGCATGGCGCGGGAGGAAGCGATGTGGGGCGTGGTGGCGGGGCGGGGCGGGGCGGGGTCACGTCGTGAGGTGAAAGCGATCTGCTAGTAACGGCGTTGTGGCGTGGCACCTGTCCTCCTCCCCCCTCCTCACTCGCCACACATATCCTTCTCTTTCTCTCCGTCTCTGTCCCTATCCCCCCGCCCCCTTTACCCCCTCATTGACGAATGAATGAGTGGAATGGTGACGAGTCTCTCTGGTTAAGTTATGAAACGTGCTTCCCGCCGTCGCCGTACGGTTCCCTTCCCCCCTAAATTAGTATGATGAACGACGCTCGGCAGTTCTGTTTTGGGGGGTCTCCGATTGCTATTCACGGTACGGTTCGTTTCCGCCACACCCCGCCCCGCCCCTCATGACCCGCGGAGCACCCCGATATACCTTACGAAATGCCGCTGACGTGATTGTTTCCCAGGACTCCCTAAGGTCTTGTTGCGCGTGTATCCCTCCTCGAGATTCTCTCTCACACGCTTGTCTCGTGCGATGGTTATGACGAGCGAAGCAAGGGAACGAAAAACAAACACTCCCAGGGGCGGAGGGGTCGTAGACCTCTGACAAGTGACCATAAAGGCCGCAGTAGTCGTGAAAATTCGACGGTATTGTTACCACGTTACAGGGCCACATACCCGTTATGGTGCTGTAAAATCACTTTCAAAGTGCGACGCTGTGATTCTCTTTTGGCCCCAGCATTTTGCGCTTCCGGTCAACATCCGGTCAACTTCCGGACAACTTCCGGACAACTTCAGGACAACTTCCGGACAACTTCCGGCTTGGCTCACCGCGTGCGATGCGCTGCTTGATGAACTCGTTCTCTTGGGGCGTCTCCAGCGACACGGCGTCCATGCAGTGCCTCCTGCAGATGTTCCTCGCGTCCAGCCAGTCCACCTCCAGGTTCCTGGTGGGGGCGTGCTCCCAGCTGAAGAAGTAGGCGTGCGCCACGCCGCGGGCGTCGCGGTAGGTCGAGTGCCGGACACCTGCAGGTGGGGGCGGGAGAGGTTCACTGTTAGTGGGCTGAGGTGTGGTCGCAGAGTGGTCACGGCAGGAGGGCGTTGTCCAACAGTAATTCACTTCTTACAAACACTAGGGGCTGTGCCTTAACCACGTGACTCCAGAGAGATCCACATATTATGGGGCTCCTTAAGACCAAGACAGATCTCATAATATTTTCACCCTAGGGTAAAATTACCATGGGGATCCTATCAACTCCAATAATATTTGGATCCCCCCTTGAAATCACTACCTGTGGTTTGGGCATAGCCCCTAAGAAGCACACAGCAAGAAATAATTATTCTCGGTTGTCTGCAAGACAATGACACTTACGGTTGGCACAACTCCTGGGGTCGGGGAGGGCGAGCCGCCTCTGCGCGGACACGACCGCCACCCCTAGGACGAGGAGCACTAGACTGGCGCGCATGTCGAACACCTGCAGGGCACAGAAGGACGAGTTGAGTACGGTGCGTTGGTGTGCGCGCCGAGCGACGGACAGAGACGGACTGGCCAGAGTAGCCGAGCCATGTGGGCATTCCGAAGGAACAGACGCAACACACACACACCAACACTCGTACACACACACACTCACACAAACACACACAACGATGCCTTCCAGTAATGTGCCCTTTCACCTGCTGCGTCGTTCGGAGAAAGTAATAGGGGGTCCTCACCCCCCCCC